GGCAGTGTCACTGGCCCTCTTGTGGGATCTGAACCGGGGCCCTGCTGCTCAGAGCTGGCATCCCAAGCCAGCTCTTAACCAACGCGCCACTTGGCTGGCCCTGTCAAAATATTTTGATATAATAAAAATCTCAAAATATATACCTGAGATGCCACAGGACTAATGCTTTCTTTTCCCTTAATATATCTATTTGCTATTCCCTTAAAAGTCCTCTAGTGATCACTACTTGAGTCAAGTGTAAACATGAAAATATTGTCATTAAAATTAAAATTGTGAATGAAACAAGTTGACACATAAAGGGCAAATAAGTAGATAAAGGAATGTTAGAATTTAGCAATCACCCAATCTGTCCCCTTGTTTTCAGATGGCAAACGACAGTTCTGGTTCTGCAGTCCAGAAATGACTGGCCAAGACCACACTTAAAGCTAAAGCCTGGAAGTTACAAAGGAGCTGGTTCATCTAAAGCTTGCTGACGTGTTCTGCACACAGCCCGCAAAACCCCCAAATAGGAACGTACTTTCCTCCATGCTCAGGGATATGGCTCAGGCCACCAAGGCGCCAATGGGCCCTCGTGGAGCTTCCTGACACAAGCCCCTCACTCAGCAGGCGAGGGCTCTGGAAGGGAGGCCACAGGCCTGAGTGCCCAGAAGCCTGGTGGCACAGGAACACACGAATGAGCGGAAAGCCTGACTAACAAACACATCCTGAGCCTGGCTCCATCCCCAGCTCTCCCTCCTCTTTAGACCCCATCACAAGTGGAAGAACTGGAAGAGCATCTGCTTTTGGAGTCACTGCTTTGCAGCGATGTACACTAAACCCAAAAAGTCAGCAACATATGTGATTTTAAAGTTTCTACTGTGTTGTCGAAAAAGTCATGATGCATTTTTGCAACGAAAAGCATAGAAAAACTACATCATGACTTTTCCGACAACCTAATTGTAGCCACACTGCAAAAGCACAAAGAAACAGGTGAAATTACTTTTAAACATATATTTTATTTAATCCAATATATTGAGAATATCACTTTAACATGTAATCAATACACAAAGATTAATGAGATCTTTCACATGCTAGTTTTTACATCCTTCACACTCCCAGCACTCTTCTCTCCCACCCACCCCTTCCCATGGGGAGGAGCCACAGATTGCTACACAACCCAGCACAGCCTGTGACATCAAAGCCCTCCCACCATGAACTTGCTTAACTTTGTCAACCTCCCAAATCTGGCCTCCCTATTTCCTGACACTCTTCTCTGCAATTTATCCCAATATGGATGAGGGCCTGGACTTCTGAAGGCACCTACCCCTCACTAACTTCCCTCAGCTCCAGGGCGTTTGCAGCTTTTTACCCTGTTAAGTATATTAAATGGCATCCAAATCCTCGCAATCTGCTCCAGCATTGCTCCCTTACCCCTCTCTCTTCCCTCTAAGGCCCTTGGGCATTATGGTGGTGTTCTTCCTGGCCACACCCGGCCAGACACAAACCCCAGCCCCTGCCTCCAGGGCAGGATGTCCTGGCACCCGCTTTAACCCGCACCTCAATGCCTCCTGTCTGCACTTTAGCTAACCGAGGTCCGCACCACACCTAAACAAATGCTGTCTCACACATCATTTCTCCATCTATTCTCCTAAGGGGCTCATTTTATCTTTCCAAAACGTCATTTGTTTTCTTCTTCCCCTATAAAGATGGTATGTAAGCCCCAAATTCTAACCTCCTCCTAAAATCTGCCTTTTCTCTTGCTGATCTGTCTTCTGTCAGTTTCACTTGCAAGCCCCTAGGCATTGAATTTTAAAGAGGGTAAAAGTTTTTACTCCCCAACAGGCTCAAACAAAGGCAGTATTTCTTTAAATTGAAAAGATGTTATTAAAGCATGAGGGAAGTTTCTTAAAAACAAAAACAGGGGCTGGTGGAGTCGCTCAGTTGGTTAAGAGTGCAAGCTCTGAACAACAGGGTTGCCGGTTCGATTTCCACATGGGCCAGTGAGCTGAGCCCAAGCTGAGCTGCCGCTGAGCTGCCAACAGGTGGCAGGATGGCTCAGTGGTTAGAGCATGTACTTTTTTTTTTTTGCTTTTTTTTTTGCTTTTTTTTTAACAACAAGGTTTCCAGTTCAACTCCCGCATGGGATGGCGGGCTATGTCCACCTGCAGCTAAGATTGAACACGGACAGCACCTTGAGCTGACTGGCTGTGAGCTGCCAATGGGCGGCCAGATGGCAACTCGACTTGGAGCTGAGCTAGCTGAGCCCTCCACAACTAAAATTGAAGGACAACAACTTGGCTGTTCCCCTTCCCCAAGTCCCCAACACTGTTCGCCTCCCCCAATTCCCCAAAATCTTAAAAAAAAATTTTTTTTCACACATAACTCTTACCACTCCATCATAGTGGATTTTCACCCTAATTAATCCTTCCTGGTCCTTGCACAGAGGTAGGTACACACTCTCTTATTCTGCCTTTTTCACATCCATTCCAAAGAGTATCTTGTTTCAAAAGGCTGCATAATTAGTTGTACTGACACGACATAGTTTACCAAGTCCTGCCTTCTGATAAACAGTTTTGACTTTTCTAGTGTTTTGCAATAAAAACAATACTACAGTGAATAACATTCCTTATGTGAAACTACAGGATATATTACTGAATGGATGAATGAAATTCCCTGATGTGTCACAATTGAGTCTAGTAGTCGGAGCATGTTCATAGGTTGGGAAAAGGCTCTATACCTCCCAGGGTACCAGAAGTGCACCTGTTACAACCAGGCCAGAAAAGGTATTAATCAGCTTTTGCCGACTTAAAAAACAAAAAAAGAGAAGAGGTAATTCACATTTGAAAAAAAAAAAAAAAGTCAGCTTTGAAACCAAAGAGGAAAGCAACAAGAGGGGCAGCCCACTTACTGGGGATCTCCAGGCTGGGGTGGATGGCAGCCACACTCCTGACCATGGGTGGGGAGTGCCGCCCGTCCACCAGGTCGGACTCAGCGTCCTGAGCTTCTCCATGAATCACCGCAATTCCCAGCCGCAGGCGCTCAGCAAAAGACTGTGCCCTAAGGGAGAGCATGAGACACTTCAGAAACGACGCATCATCTGTTTTCTGTTAAGGTCTATGGGAGAAACATTAAAAGAACATAAATAGAAAGTAGTTTCTCAAAAAATTAATGAAAAAAAAAAGAATAAAATAATCTTAGAGTCTTGGACTCCAGGACAGGGTGTAGAGGCCCCATGTGATAAACGTGTCCCTCTGGCAGTGGGTACAGTGGGTAGAGAGCTAGCCCTGGTCTGAACTCAGGCAGCTGGGGGAGCCTGTGTAAGTTGGTTAACCTCCTCCAAGCCTCAGTTGCCTCCCTTGTAATTGCTAATTCTCTACTCAGTAGTGAGAACCAACCACATGAGACAAAGCACATTAAATACTAAGTGTTAAGCCTCGATCTTTTAAGTTTTATTAAGGTATGACTGAGATACAAAAAAATGTACATACGCGGTCCGACAATTAAGTTTGTGAACTTGTTGCAACATTGCTGCTAACCTTTTTCCGTATCAGAGGGATTATTCATTATGAATTTGTACCAACTGGACAAACAGTTAACCAAGTTTACTATTGGAAGTGCTGAAAAGGCTGCGTGAAAAAGTTAGACGACCTGAACTTTTTGCCAACAATTCATGGCTCTTGCATCATGACAATGCACCAATTCACACAGCACTGTCTATTAGGGAGTTTTTAGCCAGGAAACAAATAACTGTATTGGAACACCCTCCCTACTCCCTGATCTGGCCCCCAATGACTTCTTTCTGGCCCCCAATGACTTCTTTCTTTACCTGAAGATAAAGGAAATATTGAAAGGAAGACATTTTGATAACATTCAGGACATCAAGGGTAATATGACGACGACAGCTCTGATGGCCATTCCAGAAAAAGAGTTCCAAAATTGCTTTGAAGGGTGGACTAGGCGCAGGCATTGGTGCATAGCTTCCCAAGGGGGGTACTTCGAAGGTGACTGTAGTGATATTCAGCAATGAGGTATGTAGCACTTTTTCTAGGATGAGTTCATGAACTTAATTGCCTGACCTTGTATTTAAACTATACAATTTCATAAGCTCTAATGTATGTGTATATCTGTATCAACATTAACACAACCAAAACAATGAAAGTATTTATCACTGCCAAATGTTTCCTCGTGCCCCTCTGTAATTTCTCCTTCCACCACCAGGCAACCAGTGATCTGCTGGCTATCACCATAGTTCTACCTTTTCTAGAATTTCATAAGTAGAATTAGAGTATGTAGTCCTCTAGAGTATTTCATTCACTCAGCACAACAATTTGGAGGTCCGTCCATGTTACGCTGTACCTCAACGGGCCATCCCTTTACACTGCTGAGTAACATTTCATTGTACGGGTCTCTCACAGTTTGTCCATTTACTTGTTGTTGGACTTTTGTGCTGCTTTCAGCTTTGAATTATTACAAAACTGCTGTGGGCATTCATGTACAAATGTCTGTATGGACTCATGCTTTCTTTTCTCTTGGGTAAATATCTGAGTAGAAAGGCTGGATCATATGTCAGGCACATATTGGGTCATTGGAAAAGTCATGACGTATTTTTCTATGTTTTTCATTGCAAAAATGCATCATGACTTTTTCGACGACCCAATATTTAACTCTTTTAAAAAACAACCAAACTGTTTCCAAAAGTGATCCAATAAGCAAAGGTAGTGGGTTGTGGGAAATAACTGAAAAGGAACTTTTCGGGGAAAAAGACTTTACTCCTACATTTGATTTTGCTCTTTCCCTCTCTGGTGGAATGGCTTCTCCAGGAAACGCTAGCATATGGAACCCTCTCGGCCCAAATACCACTCTAAGTCCTGTACCACTGACTCATCAGGTACTGCAGGTTACCTGTGACTCTCTCAGCACTGCCCCATTTGTATGCCTCTGGGTGTTTTCGCTTCTAGAATGTCACCTTGTAACACATACTAGTAAGTGGCCTCTGGGCTGGATACAATTCTATTAATAAATTACGGAGTTCTCTGAATAGCAGTAAACAATTACAAAATTCATTTGTTAGTATTTTAAATGCCAGATCTGAAGTTCAATAACAAGCAGCCACCAATCTGGGAGTGAGGAAAGTACCAGATTGGAATTCCCCAGACATGGGAAGGCTTTGGTCAAGAAATAGGACTGGTGGTCACAGATTGGAAATGAAAAAAAAGAGGAAAATTAATCATCACTTAATAAATGAAGTTAGCACTTATTATGGACTTTTAAACCATCAGTCCACAGAATAAAAATAAGAGAACCTGTGGGAACCCCTGAGGTACAATCAGAATGCCAGGATCTGACTGGGGATGTGGTCCCTGGATACAGACCCGAGAAGCTCAATCGTGAGCTCCCACCTACCTCTTGGCAGAGGCTGGAGATTTGGCCACAATCACTGCATTCCTGTAATCCGGGATCTGTGACGGACAAGAGGTCAAGGGTTACTGCCATGTCTCCACAGGCTAGTCATACCAACACCCAACAATCCATAAAAAGGAACATTGCAACAGACTAAAAAATGTCTGGTCACTTAAAAGTTTTCCAAAAAGAGAACAGTTCAAAGCAAATTTCTCCTTTGGAAAATGAAGAAATGTCTACCTAGGAAATATTATCAAGGTATGAGCCTCACAGGCTTCTTTTAAGAAAAAAGTAGGGCTAATCAGTGATTGGATCATTATCAGTGCCAGCAAATACTGACAATGTGGTATAAAGATGTTTTTATAGTCAACAGGAAGTTGCCATTTCATAGTGCAGGGGTGATATCCATCCAATCTGAATCCAAGGTAATTGTCAAATTCCAAATTAGTGCAGTCCAAACAAATGACTACTTAACGTATCTCAGTCATATGTTGAGGAAACCAGCTTGTTAAAGGACACTCAACAAAGGACACTGGAGTTGGTAAAGTTGAACAACTGAAGTGATCTGTGCTAGTGATAATTATAACAGAAGATGTATCCATTATCAACATCTGAGAGTTTAGAAGACAGTATTGTTATTAAGCTGAGCAATAGTTTGTTGTTTCTGACTTCATTTTGGCAATATTTTCAATACTTTATGTTCTTGAAATTTAATCACATCAATTCATTAATTCATATTCATTCAAATATATCCCCATTGCTTTTTTTTCTCACAATTATGCTACAGTAAAGAATTTTAATGTCAGCACTTAACAGCTAGCACCTTGTACAATGCCTAACACATAGGAAGCACTAAATACTTAGTAAACAAACAAAAAACCTGATTAATTTGAGGAAGGCTCTATTATAGATATATCCAGCATAACCACAAGTATCAGATATCCTTACAGGAAAACCTTATGTATCCAACACTGTCAGTGAGCAAAGTAGCAAAAAATACTTTCATTTAGGCACTTTCCTTATTTTCACCATAAGTCTTTCTAAATTGTTTTATGTACTTCCTCGCCTCATCAAACATCAAACAGCACCAAACCCAGCCAAAAGAAGAAATAAACCAGGAAACAATTAATAAAGCAAATAAAAGGAGACTTTAAAACAAAGGACTCTTTAATAAAAACAAGTCTAATTTTTTCCTCAAAAGTTAAAACAGAAAATCATAGAAGAAACAAGCTGTTATAAAAAAGAAATCTAGGAGGTTAAAGAGATTATTGTCCAAATAAGAAACTCAGTAGCGGGCCGGCCAAGTGGTGCGTTGGTTAAGAGTTGGCTTGGGACGCCAGCTCTGAGAAGCAGGGCCCCGGTTCAGATCCCACATGGGCCAGTGATGCTGCGCCCTCTACAGCTAAGATAGTGAACAACTGCTTGACCTGGAGCTGGGCTGCCGTGAGTTGCCAGCAACGGTGTAGGGTGCAGTGGAGCTGCCGTGGGCTGCCATAAAGCTATCATGAGTGGCTGGCAGCCGGTGTGAGCAGCCGGCAGCGGCTGGCCACCGATCTGCCTCACCCAGGAAGAGTGTGCAATGATAATACCAACACGAGCCCGTGAAACAACGTCCTCCACAACTAGACTGAAGAACAAAAAGGACAGCAACTTGTCTGTTCCCCTTCCCCGATTCCCCAATAAAATCTTTAAAAAAAATTTTTTTTCACACATAACTCTTACCACTCCATCATAGTGGATTTTCACCCTAATTAATCCTTCCTGGTCCTTGCACAGAGGTAGGTACACACTCTCTTATTCTGCCTTTTTCACATCCATTCCAAAGAGTATCTTGTTTCAAAAGGCTGCATAATTAGTTGTACTGACACGACATAGTTTACCAAGTCCTGCCTTCTGATAAACAGTTTTGACTTTTCTAGTGTTTTGCAATAAAAACAATACTACAGTGAATAACATTCCTTATGTGAAACTACAGGATATATTACTGAATGGATGAATGAAATTCCCTGATGTGTCACAATTGAGTCTAGTAGTCGGAGCATGTTCATAGGTTGGGAAAAGGCTCTATACCTCCCAGGGTACCAGAAGTGCACCTGTTACAACCAGGCCAGAAAAGGTATTAATCAGCTTTTGCCGACTTAAAAAACAAAAAAAGAGAAGAGGTAATTCACATTTGAAAAAAAAAAAAAAAGTCAGCTTTGAAACCAAAGAGGAAAGCAACAAGAGGGGCAGCCCACTTACTGGGGATCTCCAGGCTGGGGTGGATGGCAGCCACACTCCTGACCATGGGTGGGGAGTGCCGCCCGTCCACCAGGTCGGACTCAGCGTCCTGAGCTTCTCCATGAATCACCGCAATTCCCAGCCGCAGGCGCTCAGCAAAAGACTGTGCCCTAAGGGAGAGCATGAGACACTTCAGAAACGACGCATCATCTGTTTTCTGTTAAGGTCTATGGGAGAAACATTAAAAGAACATAAATAGAAAGTAGTTTCTCAAAAAATTAATGAAAAAAAAAAGAATAAAATAATCTTAGAGTCTTGGACTCCAGGACAGGGTGTAGAGGCCCCATGTGATAAACGTGTCCCTCTGGCAGTGGGTACAGTGGGTAGAGAGCTAGCCCTGGTCTGAACTCAGGCAGCTGGGGGAGCCTGTGTAAGTTGGTTAACCTCCTCCAAGCCTCAGTTGCCTCCCTTGTAATTGCTAATTCTCTACTCAGTAGTGAGAACCAACCACATGAGACAAAGCACATTAAATACTAAGTGTTAAGCCTCGATCTTTTAAGTTTTATTAAGGTATGACTGAGATACAAAAAAATGTACATACGCGGTCCGACAATTAAGTTTGTGAACTTGTTGCAACATTGCTGCTAACCTTTTTCCGTATCAGAGGGATTATTCATTATGAATTTGTACCAACTGGACAAACAGTTAACCAAGTTTACTATTGGAAGTGCTGAAAAGGCTGCGTGAAAAAGTTAGACGACCTGAACTTTTTGCCAACAATTCATGGCTCTTGCATCATGACAATGCACCAATTCACACAGCACTGTCTATTAGGGAGTTTTTAGCCAGGAAACAAATAACTGTATTGGAACACCCTCCCTACTCCCTGATCTGGCCCCCAATGACTTCTTTCTGGCCCCCAATGACTTCTTTCTTTACCTGAAGATAAAGGAAATATTGAAAGGAAGACATTTTGATAACATTCAGGA